TCGATTTAATACTTTTGAACATTCTATTTATAAATGGTCCTTATTTACGTAGGTATCATATTTTTCAGGTACCTAAGTTGTGGCTAATTCAAGAGTTACCTTATATGTTATTGTATGTTATAGTATTTATTCATCCACTTGTGTTTTAGAAGATTTTTGCTATGAACATAGTTTTCATACAGTTTGTACCTCCGACAATACAAATTAAAACTAAATCTTTATTATAAAGGAATATTTTCGATTTTTTCCGTCTCAGACTTTAGAAGATTTTTTTTTTGAGAACGTGGTGTTTTATGTACCCTATATGGCAGACGCACGATACGACTCCTGGAAAGTGGTATGAGGGATGTAACCTGTGACCTGTGGCAGCTTTTGTAGACATAGATCGCTTTATTTACTAAATTCCAAATGATTGTCTAGGAACCAATCAAAAGTGCTAATTTAAGATGAAGTTATTTAAGAGACCTTCTTTTAACAATGTAATGTTTGTCTTAATTTAGATATTTTTCCATGAAGCTTCCAGATGTAAATGATACCTACGAATATACTGAATTAGAGCTAAGCAGTCTCGGAAAACTGATAATGGGTAGTTATTCAATTTAAAAATATTTCTCCTTCTTTATTAAATATTACACAGTTTCTCAGTCTTGTACGGATAAGTTTTTTAGTGAAGGCTTTTACAAACACCTCGACGAATTTAGGTTTCTTAAAGCAGGAAGTTTATTAACCATATGATTAAAATCTCTGTACGATGCTAATATTGATCTATTTAGTATGATCTTTTAGTTTGGTGGTTAGTCAGTCTTTTTAGTTAGTTAGGTGGTTTAGATATTTCGTCAGTTGATTAGTCTGTTAATTCCCTTGGTTAATGCAGGTTGTCTGCAGATGGATCTCTTCGTGCAGAGCTTAGAGCGTCGGTTGCAAGTCCCACACGGGTCTCGTGTTGTTGCACACATGACACGGCCTTTAATCCGATGTTTACCTTCATGTCGCGCTCTGGATTAACATGTCCTGATGGCTTGCGGCTGTTTTCCGCACACATATATACCTCGCATTCTGATTGAAAATTGAAAACGGGTTAAAATGAAAATAGAAGCGCTTTGTCGCCTCCCCCCAATACACACAGCGTAAATATATTGAGCGCCAACTGTGATGTCCGCACAAGCTCAGCTTTCAAGGGACGTTGTAGGCTGCCTAATTCAGTGATCAGTAACATTCACAATGATTGTCGTAATCTGACCTGAAATGATCATGTCATTTTTTAAGGCTGATAGTCATAAAAGTCAGATGATATTTATTTATCTATCTAATTATTTGTATAGTTTATATAACGATTGTATCAACATCCCACACTGCATATCGTCGAATGATAGGATGGTTAATGAATAATGAATTGCAAACATGTGGAAGGAAGCGGTCTTAATCTAATTTTCGGTGTTATTGTGGAATTTGTCTGGAGGGGCTGAGATTTGAAGCTCGGAACTCTCGAATACAAAGCAGGAGTGATAACCAATCGCCCACGATCTCCCATGTAGCCTACCTCTTGAAATGTGATGTCCCTTTAACTGCTCAGCGATTTTTAACTTTAGAGTTGCTTTGTTTTCTAATATTAAATGGAAAGATTTCTTAATCTATCTTAAATCTTCATAAAAAAACTAATTATTTCGAGAAATATTGCTAAATGATTTTATTGATTATAATTTTTCGTACTACTTTGATGTTAACTCCGTAGAGCAAGTTGATAATCGCTTAGGCATTCATGAAATTACTCATATTTTATGGAACTCGAATGTTCATTATCATGTTCAGAAGAGTGTATCAGAGGTGTCTATCCTGAGCTACTTCAGGTCACATCATCAAATCTGTTTCTTCAAGAACTTGTTTAACATTTTCCTCCCATTTATATCTCGATTTCCAAAACGTTTTTCTTTTTCTTACTTAAATGTTGTAGAAATTTCTGATCTGTTCCGTGCTCACGTCTTGCACATTTTACATTCCCAATCCAGTTTTACTGTTAACTCTAAGGAACGGGCGAATAGTACGTACATGTTATGAAGCATCTCATTATGTAATTTTCTTAATTCCGTTGCCACTTCCTACTTTAGGTCCAGATATTCTGGTACAACAAACAGTAACTTAGCCACTAATTCTACTGTTCAAAATTTTACAAGGTTTGTCCTTTATATTGCATCTTTCTTACAGATCTAAGATAAACATTGCATACAGAATGACATAAAACCTTTCAAATATTGATTGAATTGAAAATCGACACTAAATAGATGCAGTCTTTGCATTTTTTATTGAAAATCGACACTAAATAGATGCAGTCGTTGCATTTTTAATCCAACCGGAATTTCTACATCTCAATTATTTTTATTACTATGGTTGAAATTATGGTTATAAACGGGACTGGGAGAGAAAAAATTGATGTGGAATACTAGTTTGCCATCTTGCCGACTGAGTACCGTCGTTTATAGTATGCTATTCTCGTTTCCATATAGCCCTATAGGGGCGCAGCTGTATAGACGTGTTAACAGATGGTAGTGACGTAAGTTATGACGTAACTATCCAATTAATATCATTGAGATGCATGTTATGTATGGACTTTGTATATGTGAAATATTTATTTTAGGTGAAATCTTAACAAAATTCTGAACATGTATTTGTATGTGTTGTATTATTATGATATCCTATTCCACATCCCGATAAACTTGTTGATCAATGGAATGGCAGTGGCTTTACAGTTGGTATTGATAGAGCAGTAACAAAATTGTTTTAGCCGCAGACTCTGTTATTTAAAAAGTTTCTTAAGTATTCGTTACTTATTTCCTTTAGTTTTGAACTCATCAGACTAGAATTTTGATTAGTAAGATTAAATTAATCAATTCTCATGTTAAATATAAAGATAAAAAATTATGATGAATGGCGGAATAACATACATTAATAAAGATAAGAACATGTTCAGCACTGAATAGGAACACGATATGGATAAACTTATTAAAAATTCAAAGGAAAATTATCTATTGAAATTATAAATTACTTTGTGCTGTCATTATTAGCTTACAATTGATTAAAAAATATTGTAGGGAAGTTCCTGGGAATCAGATTTCCTATTCCGTGAGGTGAAAGAAATAGCGGGAAAATGTGAAGTGTAGGAGGGAATTTGTAGGTTACGTTGTTGCATTGGGTTTGATGTAAGAGTAAACTTTTGAAAATTGGAACATTATAATAGTGCTGGAGTTACAGGACTGATAACTGTTAGAGGAATGAAGAAGCACGTTCGTACTAGTGCAGCTTATAAGTATGTTCATAATTAGTTTTAATAATAACAAAGTACGAAATTCGCTGTGTGTAATTGCATGTTATATGTGATGGAGTTGACTCGTTTCTCCCGTGAATCTAGGTGGTACCCATAGCAGCCTTCGCTTCTTAGAGGGACATGCATGTGTTGTGTGGGATATAGTATTATACATTTTCCGTGAAGAAAGAACGTGGTGTTTGATGAGAGATTTTCCATTTTGTCAATGCTATGCATTGCCCAAATAGCTGCTATACGTAATTTGGTGACATGTATCGAAGATGTAGTTCCTGTAGTTTGCAATGTGAAGTCCAAATGCTTAAAGCTTGGAAATGATTCCAGTTTTTTACCATCACAGTAAATTCTGTCATCTGTTATTATTTCTTCCACCTGAATTACACTATTTTTGTCTTCCTTTTCTTTATGTTAAGTTTCCTGTTTGTTCATGTACCCAGGTTCTGTATACCATTTTGGAGATTTACTTGAATTGTGGTAGTGATGACTATATTATTCTCAAGGGATGGAATAGCTTTTAATGTGATGCAAATTGCTGTTCAGGAATTTTTTGGGTGACTTCTTCTAGTAAATATTTTGTCAATGCCCATGTGAGCATCTCCAGAGGGCTGCTGTTCAGTGCATTAATTCTATATGTGACTGGGTAAACAATTTTTTGTGTTATGAAAGGGCAAAGTCCAGATTACTGTATGGACCAACTTAATCCATTATGGCGCATTAGTCCTAGAATGTATTAAAGTACTTGCATCATACATCTGCTACATATCATATGGAGAACATAGAAGAATTGATCTCACATGAGACAGATAGTACTGCTTCCAGTGTTAGTTATTATAGATAGAAATTTGCCAATTTTTCCTTAACATTAATATGTAGTAATGTATTACATTTTATGAACTGACTAAATGATCAAGGCTGAAAGTCACACATGAGCTTCATTTTGAGCTAAGATTTTTATACTTAAAAGTTATTATTTGTTTTAAATAATCTCATGAACTTTCTTCTGGCATAATTCACTTGTCACAAAATGAATTTGTTTGTCAGCCATATTGTACTGCTTTGACCCTGCTGTTTCTTCTTCAGCTGGAGTAGCATAAGAGGTGATCATTGAATCCTCCACATAATATTGCCTACATTCACATTTTAAAAAGTTTGTGTTAAATAATGTTCATGTTGAATTTTGTAGCCTAAAAAAAAAGTCAACAGACCTTACATAAATGGTTTACATTCAGTGAAATGTATAAAATTTCTGTTGAAATTTTTAAGTTTCAAAACAGCGGATAATTTAATATTTTAAGAAGACAAAATTTGTATGAAAGATATAGTACATAAAATTATGTGATTGAGAGAATAGATAGTACTAACCAGACTGCAGGCTTGTAGAGATGCCAACAGAAGGTACAGACAGTATGAACTAAGTGCTACATCCCTTACATTTACGTACATGTTTGTCTGTGTGGTTAGTAAGTTGAGATGTATCTTTATTTCATAGGATCAAGAATAACCCCACAACTAAAACACAACTGAAAGTGACGTCAACACCCAAGATACCTGATGCCCCGTTGACACAGTCACACCTCAGTATATCCAACATAAGTTGTATAAGTACCAATGCCAGTGGGTCAGATAGCACATCCAGCAAAGATGTGAGGAAGGTAACATCAGGACAAATGTGTGCTTGTGTTAGTTCGCTTACAGCGTCTGTCTCTTCCTAATCTTTATTTCCTCCTCATTTCTCAGTTCTCATTCCCAAGGCCACTTGCAGCAAGACCTACTTGTGTGAGTCAGCGACTTCTTAGAATTTTGTAAACATACTTCTGACTCACTCTGTATATATATGCAGCTGCCATGTTATTATTTTATATTATAATACATTAAAAAGGACATTTGATCTTCAAAAGTTATGTTCCTTGTTTCAGTATGTATGGTATCTCAAGATGACCTTGAATGCACTCATAGTATAATTTCAACCCCAAAATAAGTGTTTCTTTTTGCAGGAAGTGAGTACCATAGGATGATCTGGATTACAGTCACAATATGCATTTTATCATCAAAAGTAATTTATCTTTTTACAGAAAGTGACGGTGTCTTTCGAAGACCTGGAACACGCTCATAATATATATTTGCTGTCCGTGGCAACAACCAAATTACAAGAGAAGACATTGTCAGATGTATCAGCTGAAAATGAGGCAAGGATCGTTTTTCTTTTTAGTAGTTCCCCAGCAAGCTGCTTTTAAACCACATTAAAGTCACCCATCCTACTGTTGAGCCTGCTTTGTGGGTCCAGAAAGCTAGCTGCCCCATGGATCCAGCTTGACCTTTTCCATGACAACTTGGTGTTTGCCAATATGGAAGTGAAGTCTGTTACATTTGATATACAGTTACTTACATACACTGACTACTCTAGGCTTACTTGAATTAAGAATTAATGACAATAGTATTAATAATAATCTTTTGAAGCCCACTCCCATGCATTGCACATTAAACCCCAGCCTCAATAACATTTTCTAAAGTTAAATCCACCAATTTTCGCTTCCCCATCGCAAAAAGAAAAATTCCATTTCAGTTAACGCAGTCTGAACTCAAATGCAAGCGGAGTTAAAACTGTGTCGTCTGCAATACTGTAGTCCAGTTAAGGATTCAGCAAAAGAATAGTTAAACACTTGCAATGCATTCCAATGATGGGTGCAATGTCCTCAAGATAATCCTCCAGAGACGAGGCATTCGTAAGTCAGAAATTCAAAATAAAAAAATATGCAACTGAAAAAAATTCCCTGAAAAGCATCGAAGTTAAGTGCATGAACCTGTCCAACTTACAACAAACGGGGTGTTCAAGATATAGAGTGTTCTGGACATTTAAAATTATAGGATATCCGCCGGTTCCAATTAAAAGTGTCCAATATAAAGGGGTGTCCAACTAGAGGGGTTTTACTGTATAAAGGTAAAAGGGAGATGACATTTCTATAGGAAAAGCTCAGGAATTTATTTTAATCCAAGTGATTTGACCTTAACCTTTGTTGACTGTGTCACTGCTTAACATGTGATCCGGCTTTTCCTAGCCACATATTTCATTGCTAAATCCTTAAACTCATGTAATTAAGTTTTTTATTGTCCTGTTAAAGAACCAGAAACTGGCCTTGCTGTCTGAAGTGGAAAGTAAACGTGATCACCTGGCAGCCCTTAAAAAACGCTGTGAAGAAATTAAATACCTGTCCCAACAGAGGGAGCTGCTTAGACGTGAGAAAGAAAAACTTGGACCTCTCATGGGTAAGTTATCAAATTTAGTTGTTTATACAGTCTAATCTGATTTTAATATTTCTAAATCTTGGAGCCATATTATAATCAAAATCAAGGTACTAACTGATTTTAAATTTTCAAAAAGCATACGTGCATTTCGGTTATTTTATCAGGACAGCTCAAACCTACTGAAGACTACTTTTTAATTTTATAAGCATGATCTCTGGGTGGTATTGGTACTGAAACTTGAGCTGTGTTTCAGATTATACAGTGTTTCAAGTTGCATTATCTAGAAGTTGATGCAGAGAAAACTAAGTATTTGTTCATGCCTCATCACCAGGCTAAAGGACAAACTCATGATGTAATGATATCTAATAAATCTATAAAAAATGTAACAAAGTTAATACTTGGAAATGATGGTAATTCTTCATTACAAGCAGACACTGCTTGCAGTTACTCACATTGAAAAACACACCCATCCTTCACAGAACTGTCTTAAATGTAACACACAGTTACTGACACCAAAGGATAAAACAGTTCAGTCTACCATCCTATTCTATCTATAAATTTCTGAGGCCTACCCCTTTTTTAGTCTGATTTATTCTTAGTTATTAACTCCCAAGTGATTTTCTGTGTCTGCCTGCCTTGGGGTCACTGGTCCCATTATAGTGTGAAAATTCACGTGTACTATGAACTACAACTTATAAAATGAAAATGTTTAAATTAATTTGAGGCTAAGATGATTGTACTGTCTTCGTGGTTAAAGTGGGGTCACAAGTGGCCGCGCGGACCCTGTGCCGCTTGGTTGCTGGGACCGTGGGTTCGAATCCCACTCAAGACGGATGTTTGTCTGCGTCTTTCTGTGTCGTGCTGTCCTGTGTACAGGTAGAGGCCTTGCGACGGGCCGATCCCTCGTCCAAGGAGTCCTACCAAATGTCTATAGATCGAGCGAATGAAAAGTTGAGACCCGCAGTGCTCAGGCACTTGAAGAACGGGTCGTTCCCAGTATCGTGGTTAAAGTTCAAGGGAGGGTGTTTTATTATTTCAATGGCTTCTCTGATGATGCAGGGAAAATATGTTTGAATATTGATTGGAACTTCTTTTCTTACCTCTGAACCCCCTGAGTTTCGCTATACTTGAATATTATAATAAAGTGGAATATTATTTTGAGCTTTGAAATTTGTCATCCTAGCCAGAGATTAATCCTAGAACTTTTGCTACCCTTTGTGAACATTGAGGTTTGCATTTAGTCACAACATTTTTGCTCAACTCAACATAATAGTTCTTAACGCACTGCAGTAGAATTTTTTTTACATGCCCTCAGAACTTAATGGGGTGATGTGGTGCCTTTATTTGTTCCAGACTTTGTGACAGATGGGTTGAAAAGCATGGACAAGTTAAAAAATGCATTAGACTGTGGACTGCCTGTTAAAGGATTCCAAGCTGAAGAAAGTGCCTGTAAGTAGAAACACATCTTCCATTTGTAAAAGAAACAGCAGTTTCTAAGCTACCAAAAGCCCAAGTGTGACTTATAGCCTATATTCTTTATTTAGTAAGGAAAGGCTTTGATATAATTATGTCCATGAATCTATGCCTCTCAATAAATTTTGAACCATCTGACAAATGTGGTATAAATATCATCCTACTAGAGGTCAAGCCACCTTTGAATTTTTTTAATTTTCTACCATCAGTGACACTAAAATGGCAGTGGTAGTAATGATGTTAATTCCATTTAATGTAGTGTCCTAAAATGTGTTGGATTATCAAAATTTAGGCGGCTTTTGTTAACGTCAAATTTGTTCGGATTGCAAAATACAAAATGTAGGCTGCAAAATAATTTAGTGTGTAACTGTTTTGTATCAATAACTAATGAAGTATTGGAGCAAGTCGTGTGAAATTTTGTATGAAGATCGTAAACTCACCAACAAATTTAATATTAAACATAGTTTATGCATACAAATTTGTCTACAATGCCTTTGTTAATTCACCAAAGTTCCAACCATGAGACTTCTAGAAAGATGGAAGATACAGTCATGTTAGTATCAAGAGCAAATTCATATTGGATGTTTTGAGAATAAAGTAAGGAGAAACTGCTTTGATATATGGAATATTCACAAACCAGCAAAGGTACCACAAAAAACAACTTTTGAGCAAGCTGAGAAACATTCTGACCTCTAGCTTAAACCATATTTTAAACATTGCTCTAAGTGCCACGGAACAGTACCAGTACTTGATAATAATGATTTTGGTGATGACTTCAAGAGGCCAAATGAATCTCTCTTAACAGATAGAGAAGGTTTTCTTCTTCTCGTATCCATTACACACCATTCAGCATGGTGTGCATTGGTGGTTAGCAGGATTCACGACCCATCAGTACATGGGTTCGACCGGGACAGCGACATTTAACGCTCCTGCTGTGACCCCCTTTTTACAAGATGATGATGAAAGTGGAGTAATTGTTGGGATGCCACGGAGAAACCCCGGAGGAAAACTCCGTGATGCCTGGACCACGACTGCCTTGCCCAACAAAAGTTGTAAATCTGAGCACTTCCAGGAATCGAACCCGGGACCCCAGTATTACAAGCCCAGCATTCTAACCGCTAGACCACCTTGGCGATTAGAAGGTTCTATGAGGGAAAATGAGGTGGTCCTTCAAGGAGTGTCATCAGTATGGAAAAAAGAGAAATAGCAAAATTAATAACAAAAGAACAAAACGGATAAGGTTCTTGTAACTTTCATTGACATAACTAGAAAAGTGCGTAGTGACATGGTAGATGCGTGAAATGTTTTGGTTTCATAGTAGTGATGGACTTTAATTTAATGCGTAAAATTGTTATGGGGCTTTATACATTCATATCTACTAGTAGTAACTTGATCAATGTAAAATGGGTCACATCAGTGGTTTTCATTTCTTTGCTTTTAGGTAGTCTCAAGAATGTGTTATGTGAAAACAGTAAGATGCTAGATAAGATGTGTGGTGCAACCTCTGAACAAGAGGCCGTCTACTCTAAAACACGTCAAGAAATATCAGAGATTCAGAATACTGTGACAAGTATTGCTGAAGCACAAATCAGGTACTGTGTTTATTGCAGTGGTTTGTACATTATTTAATGAAATATAAGGTTATTATGCATTTTGGGCTGGAAGTAAGAGAAGGGGAGAGAGCATTTGTGGCCAGTTTAAAGATATTTTCCAGACATTACTCTAAAGGACCTTAGAAAATCTTACAAACACTCAGCTAGCCAAGAAATTCCATGTTACATGTCACACCCATCTCATCTACCACAGCTGCTACTTTGTTTTATTTTATAAGCAGGAGAGAAATTAAAATCTCAAATTTGGTTCAATGAATAACCAGTGATATTACCATGTGATGGATATCTTAAAACTAAACATGTCAGTACATGCGCTGTTACCCCCAACCCCTCTCATTTACACATTCATATACCAGTATGGTGTCCGCAGTGGCCATGCTGTCTTAGGCGTGGGCCTTGTGCCGCTTGGTCACTGGGACCGTGGGTTCGAATCCCACTCAA